CCATAGAGCCATAGAGCCAGCCAAAGGCTCTCTCTAAGAGCCTCGACATTCAACAAGCTCGCACTAACTCCCTTCTCAAAACAATGGAGGATTCAAGAAGTAGAAGAGTCCTTAGGAAGTATCTCGCTTCCTTTAGGATGACGCAGAAGAGAAACAGGGCCTCATGCTCCACAAGCTGCCTCCTTAAGAGGCCAAGGCATGAAGACCCAGAACAAGATGATCATGGTCTTGGTCCTCATAAGGGGGAGAACTCGACCAGCACACCAATGGAGTCTGCAACATCACCCCCACCACCACATTATCAACCATCCAACCAACCAACCCAAGGAACCGAAGCGAGGGAACTAGAGGACCAACCCTCTAATGATGTACAAAGTGTACATATTCCCTCTGCTTGCACCCAAAACCCACCTCCATCTACCAATGAGTTCTCACCAATCTTGGTGGGTTCTTCATCATCTGACCATCAACCCTCTCCCCAACCAGAAATAGCCTTACCCTTTACCCCATCACCAACACCTCCTCCATCACCACCTCAACCTAAACCCTTCATCACCTAACCAGAATCCTCTATCACCCAACCTACTCAACCAGAACCACTACAACCAGAGCCTATCCGACCAGAACCTACTCAACCAGAAACCTCACCTTAACCAGAAGCCTCACACCAAGCTGAACCCATCCTTTCCCAAACACAAACCATCACCCAACCTACCCTTACCTAAACACAACCACAACCACCCATCAACCAAGCTATCCAGAAGAGGCCTGCAGACATTCCTTCATCAAGGAAAGCTTCAAAAACCGACAGAGTCGAAGAAATTCTCTCTCAAATGGAATCGTTAAAGAGACGTCTACCAGTGACACCAAGGGAACCTGTTATGATAGAGAATATCCATCAATACCTTTACCACGATCGCGATGAACAACTGGTCCTTAATTCTCCCAACCTATCTCCTGAGTAGATGACCTGCTTTGTTACATATTCGTGAGACAGACGACCTCTCCACCACAAGCCGTCTTCTCTAACGATGGAATCAAGACTGTCCTCGACATCAAGATGCGGACCTTCGCAAATAGAGCTATTAAATACATCGAGTACACCATGGAACGCACATATGGGATGATCAACGTCTTCAACGACAATTGTGTGTCCACAATCACTGATCAATTCTTCATATCTTCATAATCATACATGGCAGATTCTTAGATATTGCATTAAGAACATCAAGAACATTGAGAGAAAAAGTCAACTTGTAAATCTCAGTCAAACTCTCAATTATCAATGTATTATTACAATTAAGCTCCTCTCTTTCTAATTACAAAGACTTAACCATATTTATATGGTCAACCTAACTAAACAAAGTCAAAGTCAAACATCTAAAAGGAAAGTCAAACACGCTGACTTTTTACAATTAGACTATTTATAAACTTTCAAGACGAATACAATTAATACTGATTTCTCAGTCCTAACATTCTCCCCCTTTGTATTCGGACTTGAAAGAAAATTCTGCGCTTTAAGTCCTGTTTGAACTTTGAAACTTTAAGCACAAAATGTCTTCTTCAAAAGAAATCTTCAACTTATAATCTTCAAACGATCAAATGTTGAGAAAGATCTTCTAACACTCCCCCTCGAATGTAGAAATCACTGTGATCTCTTTTGACAATGTAGAACCAATTCAAAAATGATTTTCAGAAGCACTGTACAAAATGTGATCTTCAAAGAATTTTCAAAATCAAACTTCAGTAAACTTTTGTGAAAAATGATCTTCACATTCAACATCTCTCAGTCAATGTAGCACACAAATAATCTTTCTGTAATAATCTTCAGTCACACTTCTTCTTTTGAGTCTTTTGCCATTATCGAAGTCACTCCCCCTTGATCTTTGCATCAGATTCCCTTTAACAATGTTCGGTAATGAATATTTCATTCATATTACATATACTCCCTCTTATGATGAAATGAGAATCATTCCATCATACAAAAGATGAATGAAATTTTCCGATTAAGCCTGTCAGATCATGAAACTGTAAGTAGATCTTTGCAAATCCACTTATTTAATCTTTTCAGATTAAGGGAATGGGAAGGTAACAACCAATTTCAACGTATGAAATTGTTTTCAATCTTATAAAAAGATTGGCCTGTGAGTATAACATATATACT